TGAATACACAAACTGCATTCTGAACCTCTGTCATTTGTTTCAAGGGATAATGTGATAGTCAACAGCCTGAAGGCTGTTCTGCAATTTCTAGATAGAATAAATTTACAATTTTTAGCAAAGAAAAATTAACCATAAGCTTAGCAATCTAAAAGTTGTGAGTTCACAATCTTAATGAAAATTGTTCTCCACTGGTTGTACCTTTGCTGAATGTTTTACTAATGCATATTACAACTGTTGCTCTTCTGTACTTTTTTCTTTTTTAGAATTAACTTTGCATAAACACTTTGTCACTCTGCCTTCAGCATACATTTTCCCTACATTTTTGGCCATCTTGAATGGTTTGTTCCATTTTAGCATTCTTCCTGTTTAATTACAAACAACCATCTACAGTAACTGTGGGGAAAGGTATTAAAAAGTAAATAAAAGAACCTGCAAGAATCTCCAACTGGTAAAAGCAACTTGAGAAGCAGCTAAATCAGAAACTAGTCAGCAGTTAAAGAACTTTCTGATTTTGTTATTGGATCTTCTCTACCTTGTGTGATTGGCTATTTCCTACAATGTTCTATCCCCCAGGCCGTTCTACCTGAGATCCCCTCCACATCTGTGCCTCTTCTATACTGCCCTGTTATTTTCATCCCTGTTATTTCATTGTCCCTTCTCTCTTTATTATTCTATTAAGTTTATGCATTTCTGGAAAAAAAAGAAAAACAAAAACGAATACATTAACATAAGGAATTTCATCATTTGCTACATTGGCATTGTTCATTCTACTGTTTTTTCTAACTCTTTTCCCCAACCCAGGAGAAAATTCTCCACATTACTGTCAAGCTAGATAAAATAATTTGCAAGCAATTTTTTAGTGAAAAGGGCTAGGCCAATTGAAATGTGTGCTTACAGTAGTGATCGCAACTAGTTTGAGACACCCAAAGTAGCTTTAACATTGGTCCTGTTTCTACAGGTGGGCTACTATGTCATTTGCAGAAAACTACCCTAAACTTTACAAATTAGCCCCTGGTAATTCCTGAGTGGTATCCAATTTAGATGGTGTAAAGCTAGCTCAGGTATGTTGACACTAACTGCAATCATTTCTCTCATCCCAGGGTAGAAATTGTGCAGCTGCTATATACCTACTTAGATCAAAACCCCTTCGAGGGAAGGATTGCCCACTTCCCTCTGTGAAGTATGTAGCAAGGCTTCATTTTTTGTTGACTTTTAGGTACTGCCATAATAAACACGAGTAACAATTATTATGGGGCTCCTTTTGTCCTCTTCTATACCTCCGTCATGAACTTAGAAGGCAGGTATGCCTATTCTCTATTTAAGTAGAAGTCCTTGATTTCAGAAAGAGGACTTAATTGTTTATTTATTGGGCTTTTTTAGAAATTTAGGCTATTTTTTAATTAATGTTCTGCACCTAATAAGGCAACTGTAAAGTATCATAGTATGCATCTGATGTAGAGGTGGCTCTACAGAAATATATATTAATATTTCTACACTGTCAGGTAAGGGTGTTATGGTCACCTGTTCTGAACACAAAAAGGGGATTTATCTTGTTTACAAAGCAAATATTACCAAATTAAACTGCTGACCTTACCTATCCTTCAGTTTCTTCTTAGTTCTGCCCCCTCTCTACTTACTCTGATTCTTCTTCTTACTATTTTGCCTCTAATCACGAGCTCCTCCAGAAATGTCAGCCTCAATGCTCTGACTGCATCCCCTGCTGTAACTGCCTCCATTACCTTCCTTCCATTGATAAGGCTCTTTTAAAGCCTAGACTTCAGGACATAAGATCATTATCCAATTCCTTTTCAATTTATCTGAAGGACCTACTTCTATCATCATGACTACAAGAATACATCATGACTATAAGAATATTGTTAACTAATAGTAAGTAGAAGAAAAGAAGAGGAATCTACACATTCAAGCAAAAGAAGTAGAAAAAGAAAAATAGGTATGGAAGAGAACAAGCTTCTGGTGTGGGGTACTATATATGAACTTTTAACTTTACAATTTACTCTTTTCTTTCATCTAAACTAATAAGCTAGAGAAACTGCATTTTAGGGCATACTTCAAGCCCATTTATTTCCTCAGTTTTGGAGGGGAAGGCTAGAATAAAAGGAAAGTTAATATTTGTGAATCCTCCATGGTATTTTGCACATCTGTTTTCATCACCAATTAATTATATCCTGGGTTAGAAAGTGGACATATTGCTGGTGTGACTGCAGTTGTATCTTTAATTCCTGGTAAGAATACTTGGAACAGAATAAGCATCATTTAAAGATATATTTTAAAGAGAAATAAATGATTAAAAGAGTGCTGAGAGTGCATCACACTATGGGTACTACTGTAAATACAAACACTAATTACTTTTAAAGGTCACAATTGAAACTACAGACCCATAGAGTAATGCACAATAAATGGAAATAGTGGCTGACAAAGGCAATTTACTCACATTTGAGCTTCTGTCATTTCTGAATTCCTATTTGCTGCTAACTGATTTACTGGAAATTTTAATAAATGCTCCCTCCTTTGGAGTACAAAACAAAGCAAAAACCAAAAATAACACAGTCTGCATGAAGTATACTCTCTTTAAAGAAAAGGATCTACTAAACAGCTTTTTTTTCTTTATGAATTTTAATGCTGTAGTCATGGATGCAAAACCACCTTTATGTGTGAACTAGTAAAGGGAAATATTTAAGAAAACTATTGGGATCATAGACAACAAGCCCAAGTCTTATCATCATATTATTGCTTTGCAAGCATTTTTTTTCAGTGAAAACATGGGCTAGCACAATTAAAATAAGCATGCTTAACCACCAAGGTGTTAATAAGAATCCTTGATTATTAACAGCAACTTCCATTTACAAATAAGCTGTTGTTCTTGAGATTTTTTCCACTCCCTAACACCAGGTTTCTGGGTGTTAATGAAGAAGATATATACTGCTTCCTTCCTCAAATCCTGATACCTCATAACTCTTTGGTCCATTTACAACTCATTTTTCATACTATTTCATGGCAAGAATAGAAGCTGGTTGTGTATATTTTGAACAGACATTTCTGATGGTATCAGTCCAAGTCTAGAATACTTGCAGTCATACAAGCAGTTCTACTGACTCTAGTGGAACTCCTCACCTATCCAAAGCCTTCAGAATTTGACCTTGGGTAGGATTAGCGGGGAAAAAAGGGGAAGGGACTTACACCAAGCTTTCCAAAGGAATGTAGATATCTAAATCACATTTATTTTATGGGCTTATAAATGGGACTAAGTGGCTAAAGATAAGAAACAGGCAGATGTATTGGAACTAAGTGGAATTTAGGCAATCAAATACCAAAAAGCTATGCAAACTGGTTCTGTCCACTAATTTCACTGGGTGCCTCCATTTGGGACTGCAGACTTCATTGGGCACCTACATTTGGGTTTCTCTATATGCTCAGACACAATTCCATTTGAGTGTCTAACTCCCACCTAAGCTCTATTATAATCCAAAATGTTGGTTGGAGAAGGCTAAACGATACATGAGTTCTTGAAAGGGCCCAGTCCATTAGGTGTCTTTGGAATATGCCTAAGTCACATCAATAACACTGAGATCAGCACTGATACTTGATGACTTTCCTCAAAAACATTGGAAGGTTCCCACTTTTTGTGTATCATAATGGCTTGAGTACTCACTCAGGAAGTGGAAGCTTTGAGGTGTGGACCCTCCTCAGCCTAAGAGTATTCAAACCAATATATTCTGCCTCTTGGAAGAGGCTCCTAAGCACAAGCTTATAAATCCACTGGGCATCTGAGAATGTAGGAATCGTAAAGCCAAAAGGATAGCAAGCAAGAGGAAGCCAAGGTCTATAGCTCACTGACTAGGGCATTCCTCTAGACAGAGAGAGACCTGAGTTCCAGTCCCTAATACCATGCTTATTTCTGTTTTATAACCAATGTCTAATGCAAATAGGCAAAGTCCTAGGAGCAGGGACAATAACTCAGGTTCAACCAGTTTCTAGTGAAAACTAGGGGTGCACTGATAAAGATTTTCTTGGCCAATATTGATTGCCAATTATTAAACAGCCATATCAATCAATACTGATCCAATAGCTAATTTACAGGAATGCAGCCAGGCAACTTGGAGAGCAGCATCCAGCTGGTAAGTCTGTAGGGGTGGGGAAAGGGAAGTGAGGGAGGAGGTAGATAGAGGCCCCCACAGTGAGGGAGGGAGTGGGGCAGGGCCAGGAGCAGGGGCTGGGGAAGGCATTGCCCAGCCAGGGTGGTGAATGTGACCCTGGGGCTGGGAGTGGGATGGAGCCATGGATAGCTCATCCAGATGGCATGGGAGGGTGAGGAAGGGGAAGGCTCCCCACTGCTGTGCATACCCCCAGGGGAGGCATGGGGGGCATGCACCCCCCTAGATTTGTGTGCAGGGCAGAGGCAGGCTGCCTGCTGAGGGCTCAGGGTCAGGAGCTGTGCCATCCTCTTCCTGGCACATGGCATTTATTGGTGACATTATCAGCTCCACTGGCCAAAAAAGCTGATAGCCAATGATGCTAATTTTCCTTTTCTCAGTGCTGACCAGATATGGCACTGACATATCAGTGCACCTCCAGTGAAAACACAAAATATTAATTATTTTACAAAACGGTGCTATAGAATGTAATAGAAAATATTCATACTCATTACATACATTTAAAGAACCACCCAAATTCTACAGGTTTTTAAAGAGTAGTTTCTATAAAACACTTCCCAGCAGAGGACTCCTGGGAAGGGATGGCATCCTCCTCATGACAAAAGATAAATCCCTGTTCGTAGCCAGGATGGCCAAGCTTCTGGACAAGGGCTTTAAACTAAGATTGTTGGGGGACGGGAATACACAAATCCAAACATGTCCAAGGACCAACATACAAGGAAGCCCTGTAGATAGAAACACTGGGAGAGTCACTTTTGTGGGAGTAGTTTGAGGGAATAGTTCTCCATCAGTGGAACAGGAATACGAGGAATTCAGTAGGAGGACTCAGGTATCTATATACTAATGCCAGGAGCATGGGGAACAAGCAGGAGGAGCTAGCCCTCCTACACTCCAGTGCGCATTATGATCTAGCAGGGCTTTACAGACATCTGGTGGGACTCCTCACGTGACTGGAGAATAGCTATAGAGGGCTACAACCTGAAAAGAAGGGACCAGAGGGATAAGAAAGGTGGAGGTGTTGCTCTCTATGTGAAAGAGCAGTACACCTCCTTGGAGGCCATCAGCTCCAAAAAAGGCCTGCTTGAAACCCTCTGGGTCAAGTTGCAGGGGTGGGAAGGAGTGTGGTAAGAGAGACCTAATTATAGGTGTATACTACAGATCACCAAACCAGGGAGAGGAACTGACCAGGAATTGACTGAGGCATGGGTATGTGACATGGCTGGATCAGCTGTGATCCTTCCTGACCTTTGTCGAGGAGCTGTTCCTGACTTAGGAGGTGCATGGGCCAACCAGAGGTGATGCTCTGCTAGACTTATAGTTTCATAGTTGGTAGGGTCAGAAGGGACCTG